AATGCTATTGAGCAGGTAATAATATTCAGTTTAGTGTTGACATGTTTGTTATGCTGCAGATTGTATTTTATTTCGGATGTTTGAACTTATGACAATGTTTTGATTACATTTTTCCCGAATAAAAAAAAATGTCATTGGCTTTTCAATAAAAAGACGACAATAAAACTGATATTGTTTAAGGAAACTAGAATTTCTTGTCGATTATTATTGATAGTATTTTCGCTTTTACATGTTTAATAATTGTGACAATAATGTCATATTGCACAGATTTGCAAGATTAAAAATTTGCAATCGTCTTCAGTGCATGTGAGCACAAGGTATTCTTCTATTTTCAGTCACACTATTCGACATGAACGTTTACTATATGGAATGGAATTTGACAAAGGCACTGGCCCCATACACTTACGCAATCTTAGATGCACAGGCTCTGAGGAGACAGTTAGTGAGTGCACACAGCCAACATTTTCTTGTGACCACAGCACAGATGTTGGAATACGCTGCAATGGGGAACATTTGTCTACAACTACTGGTAATGTACAACCCGTGAAGTGCAATTTGTTAAATCCTTGTTACAAACTACACACACTAGTGATATAAAAGATTCGAACCCAAAATGTATGTCGGTATATTCTCCTGGACGAATGGTCTATATGTTTACTTATAAGATGTTCTACATACCTGTTAGAATTGTGTAGCTCTGTTATCCTGTACGTGACAAATGTAAAGCGGCTTTGAATTGCGTACACGATATGTTGCTTATAGAAGATGAGAAAGGTTGATGTTGCTTGTTAACACGCACACGTAGATGAAATGTAACGATGTTTGTGACATTCAACGTGTTACATGAAAATAGAAGAATATTGTCAGGTCCAGTTTGCTTTGGTTTAATGAATTGCTCTGTTTGGTGTACTTGCAGAGGTGGGCAATGATGTACAAGTAAGTCATTTCCATATGAATGACACACGGATCGGGCTTGTAATTAGTGGCAACATTTCTTCAATGAACAATATTGTCTCGACCTACTCACAAGGACATGGTGTAACATTCAACAAGAAAGGACTCCACACTCCGCACATCATTGATGGCCTAAATGTATCTAACAGCGGACTATCAGGAATCACAGTTGCCCCTGACAACCGTGGATATGATTATGATATCCCTGTTATCAGTATATCTAATTGTTACATAGCCGAGAATGGAAAGCACGGAATTCACATTCAAGCTTCTGCTTCAAGTAATATATCTCTTATGAACTGTACCTTTCATCGGCACAACCTAGATTCTATCTCCCTTGATAGTGCCGCAACTGTAGATATTTCACAGACGCTATTTCTGATAAACAAGAAGGGGATTCTACGGATACATGACTTCTATAGTAAATATGGTAAAAAGGTCAAGTTCTGTTTGCGAGATTCCCACATCCTTCAACATGATGTCAACAGGGGCTTGTGGAATTATAACTTGGAGAGATACACAAGCATGTTTGCTATCCAATCACATTCATACATTAAAGATTACCATTTTGAATTTGTAAATAATATCTTCCACAGAAGTATCGGTAATGTATTTTACTTTAACATGCCCAAAAATGGAATCTCCATCTTGGTCAATATCAGAAACAATACCTTCACAGGTAACAATGGTAGCATTGTTTGGTTTCTACCTCCATATGACAAGGCAATTTCCTTTTCCTTTGTAGACAATATAATGATAAATAACACAGCGTTATCATCTACAAATCCTCTTTTAAAATTGATCTACCAGAGTCATGGAAGTGGCTCTCAAGTTGACATATCTCAAAATACATTTTCAAACAACAGGGCTGATCAAATCATATATCTGGGTGATAGAAGAAAGCTTGAGTTTATTACAGGCATAACAAGAAATGCCTTTCAAAACAACCTGTGTTCTAACACTTTGGTGACCAGTGTGTTTCAGCTTAAACTAAGAGACAATGTCTTCAGTGACCCATCTGCATCCTGTGAAGTTAAGGCACCATCATTTGATAGATGGGATGACATTGATGCGCGATGGAACTACTGGGGGAGTCAAGAAATGGATTATGTTATGGACAGAATCTGTGGGTTTGACATAGACTTTGAGAAGGGCTTTGTTCATTATCTACCTTATTACCTGACAGGACTATTAACAGATGTTTCAAGTAATACACATGAAGATTTTTGGCTGGACAAAGCTATTGGAGGGGTAATCGTTGGCCAGATACGCCTTCAAAAACTCGGATCCCCATACAGGATAAGAAGATCCATTTTCATAAGGTATGTTGAATTTATAGATGGGAGGATTCATAGAGCTGACTGAACTACATGTACGTTTCTATTTTACTATACTTATTCTTAAATGGTTTCAGATCAGAAGGGTGTCTCATTATCGACAGTGGTGTGCAGCTGGACTTTCAGCCAAACACAGGAATATATGTAGATGGTATGGACTTTTAACTATATTATCTTTTAAATATATCACATTATTAATTCCCATCATAACAGTGGATAACGCCTTGACGTTTTTATTTTATATATACAAAACTGGCCAAGATGTCGCTTGGATCTGATGAAACGATCGCTCCTAGGAGATATCACGAAATATGGTGCTTTCTTTCCGTCCCGGGTGGCCCAGTCGTCTAAGGCGCCGCGATTCCTTGGGCACGCCAGAAACCTATGATTGTGGGTTTGAATCCTGATTCGCCCCGATTATGTATCTAGGTTTGTCAGCACCATGCCCGTGCTCGTGGGTTTCACCGAAGTGGTAAACGTCTGAGACCTGCATCACTTCGGGCTTTCCTCCGACATTAAGCTGACACGCCGTGATATAACTGGAATACTGTTAAAAGCGGCTTTAAACCCAACTCACTCACTCACTCACTATTTCCGTCCCCTTCATCAATGTGTTGACTGAGTGAAATACATCGACAAGAGGGGTCCCGTATTTGTTGTCATTCTTATTTTGAAGTTTAAGGGTTTGCCGGTGATGTGATCGGTTTGTTAGCTGTCAACATGACCCGTTAATTTTTCAAAAATGTTCAGAAACTTAGGTTTACAAAGAACACGTCCTATTTTAATTTGGGAAACCCAGTTGTCCAGAAACTGAAAGTGTTTCGAAAACCTTTATCCCAAAACAAAAAGTGTTTCGAAAACTTAAAACTTAAACTATGTTTTTGTTTGGGAAAATACATAAAAGATGTATCATGTCACGTAATTCAACTTATTTTTTATCTTAACTCAACTAATTTATAGCTTTACTAAAGGATCTCGCCTATGGGCTAAACAATTTGGCCCATGAGCAAGAAATGTGTCATTTGCTAAAAACGCAAGGTTTTCTATATTTCTTTTGCAAATACATAAAGTTTTGTCTGCAAGTATCATGACACATTTTAACTTAATTCAATTATTTGTAACATGAACACGGAAGTAAACACCTAGAAAGGACGTAACTCTGTGGGATTAAGCTCGGGAGTTTACCTGAGTAGAGTCGGAGAGGCCGATTCGTTTTACTCCTTACATCGAAAATAACACTATTCCACTTAGCTGCACAACACAGGACTGGGACGAGTTGATGAATGAGTAAGCATCCGAAACGTTTTACTCATCATCATAAAGAAGTTAACATCCATAAATTGTCTTCCTTGAGCTAACTTTCATTGCTGTTACCGCACCGGAGCGTGGCCGCCTGCACAGACTAATTAGCGTTTCCACAATCTGGATTAGATATGCTTTCTGCATATTCTGCCTGATTTAGTTTGACAAAAAATGCAATCCAGCAGGCGCAGCTTCGCCAGCTACCAACAGCTCGACTACCGCGCTATAGCGAAATCGTTGTCTCGCTATACCGTTTTCTTAGCTCACGCTCGAATGCACTCACATCCGTCTAAGGAAGCTGACACGCCTTGGTGATCCAACACCCCTTTTCGATCTTAGGGAGCTGACACTCTTTGGCGATCCAACATCCCTTTTCGATCTTAGTAAGCTGACATGCCTTGGCGATCGAACATCCCTTTTCGATCTTAGGGAGCTGATACACCTTCGCGATCCAACACTCCTTTTCGATGTTAGGGAGCTGACACGCCTTGGCGATCCAACATCCCCTTTCGATCTTAGGGTGCTGACACACCTTAGCGATCCAACGTCCCTTTTAGTCACAACCATCTGACTAACATTGCACAATACCGTGGTAAGTTCCAAACATTCAATCCCAAATGAATCAACGTCCATTCCCGGGATTCATAAAAACAAATAATTAAATCTAATGTGAATATTTATGTATACATTCATTCGTTCAAATAGATGCGCTTATAGATAATATTGCTTAGTTACATTCAATAGGTCAAATTGTCCTCAATTTTGAAACACAGTTTAAAACCTTCCAATCCTGGTCGGTTGGCCTGACCTGTCTCCTTTTTCTGCGTTTGATTTGCAAGCATGGACGCCGCCATACATAAACACAAACATCAAAGGTTTTAATAAACATCTCAGTTGGCACGCGTTTAATGTACATTGTCTTTAGTCAAATACTCTAAGCGACTGAGTGGTACTATCACTAATGATATATTTATAAAAAAGAATGACGGCACACACGGATATAAGGTTATACCCCGAATCTATATAGGGGGAAGAGGGCACTGCGGTAAATTTTCGAAAAACCGTATGGGTGATCAGCGCGCGCCAGATGACAAGTAATGCACCTGTGTCAAAACTTTCAGTTACTGGTAACCGTTCGCCAGTAAAATCAACATTTTTTTCGAAGCTACCTGTCATAAAAGTGTCAAAAGTTCATACAAATACAGCCTGTCGTCAGACATGTAAATTTGTTTTCGTTCTATGAGATTTTTGCGCGAATAATATATTTTATTTATATTTACCAATTTCCGGAATTAATGCATCTTCTTGGAAATATGAGGCTTAAGTAGTGCAGTCTGCGAAAATATGCATTTTTTTCAATCGTTGTGCTATATCCTAAAACCTGAGTAAGCACAAGAATGAGGTGACTGAATGACTTGGTGCGTAACTGTCTTTATCTCTAATTAACATAAAAAATGAAACACACTGTCATCAAATCTTTTTTGAATGTATAAACACGTGAATTTATTTATGTATTGTTAAGACAGATTGTTAGTTTGTTTGTTTGTTTTTTAACATACCACTCAGCATAGTCCAACATAACATTTATACCGCTTCATATTAAGCGGAGTTACGTTTTTCCGCTTGTGTATATATAATGAAAACTCACGTCTCACAAAAGCCTATAATGAGTCTTGACATATTTTCATTGCCTTCAAGGTGTTCTTTTGACTGAAGGAGTTGCCCCAGAAAGCGTTACTCTAACAGGAGCCACGAATATGTCCTGGTTTGGAGTAGTATTACCATACAAGACAGGTAATTTACCTTACGATGAACGAGGGGTGTTCAATAAGTTTTGCAACTTCAATATAAGACCAAATCGCAGAAGATCTTTTGCACTTTTATTTTTCAATATGATATAATCAGATTTCATTTGCCGGAATAGGAAATTGTCACTGGGTGGGGTGGATGAGTGTGTTTGTGGCGATGGGGGGTTAGGGTGGGTGGGTTTGTGGGGATGGGAGGTTGGGGGTGGGTGTGGGGCTCAGTCTGGGCTGTAGGATGAGTGATTTAACTGTACAGTCCAGACTGAGCCCCCAGTGACTATTTCCTGTTGCGGCAAATGAAATCTGCCCTACGTGGAAGACGCTTCCAGGATGACGAGGCCATAAAGGCTGCCACAGAGGCGTGGTCAGAGGGCCAAACTGCGGATTTCTATAAAAGTGGTATTAAAAGCTTGAAGGACAAATGGAATAAGTGTTTTGAGGTGAATGAAGATTATGTTGAAAAATAAAAGTGCAAAAGATATTCTGCGACTTGGTCTTATATTGAAGTTGCAATACTTATTGAAGGCCCCTCGTATCATATTATCCTTGTGTTTATCAAATAAACAAAAAAACCGTCATACTTCTAATCAACGTTCAATGAAAATAACCTGGTATCTTAATCTTCCCCAATAATTTTTCTTAAAAGTGTGATATAGGTCATGTCTTTTACTTTTGCTACAAGGTGTTGTATCTAAGACGGTGAGACTGGTTAACATGGTCAACACTTCGCAATCTGCGCCCGAACGAGGCTGTGCTTGTGTGTCAGGCATTAGGATATGGGTATGTAAATGACATTCACCTTGGGTATGGCAATTATCCAGCCACACTGTTTAATTCATCATCTCTATTACAACAATCTACTTCAGAGGTTCACATGGGTCAGTTCAGCAGGATGACAATTTGGATAACTTTGTGAATTTAGACCCGTGAAGAATAGGTCTTCAGCAACCCACGCTTGCCGTAAAAGGCGACTATATTTGTCATAAGAGGCGTCTAACGGGATCGGGTGATCAGGCTCGCTGACTTGGTTGATGCATGTTATCGTATCCAAATTGCGTAGATCGATGCTCTTGATGTCAATCACTGGATTGTCTGGTCCAGACTCGATTTTTTACAGACCGCCGTAGCTGGAATATTGCCTTGTGTGGCGTTAAACATGAAACAAACAAACAAAACTTTCTGAAAAGTTGCAATTTATTTACACTTTAACGGAATCGTTGCCTTTGTGTGCGAATTAATTTGGGCTAACAGTAACACATCGTTTTAGTTAACACATTCAGTCGTGCATGCATGTTATTTGTAAACACCTGGGATAGAAATCTACTACATCAATGGTCATCACTTTCACCATTCAAAGTTCAAATCGAACCAGCAATGATCATCCATCAATATTTCAGCCATTTTCTGGTGAAGATGGAATGCATTCCATTTCCTGTAGATTTCAATAGCCACATTGTGAGGACATGTTTCAGGTCACCGGAGCTTACGATTAAAGACAATGGAGCTTTTGGTCATGGGCAAGGACCAGTTATTCAAAATCTGCAATGTGACAGCATTGCAAGGTCTCTGTTGGAATGTCAACCATCCTATTGCACTTCCTGTAGCCATAAACATGATGTTGGTATCATATGTAACCAGTTTGTTGGTCCAACAGGTATCCATCCAAGTAAGTGAAATCTGCTTTGTTCTATTTATTTGTAGTGAAGTATCTGAAGGGAATAATCTAACATTGATACCATAGTCAGATATGGTATACTGAGGGTGTCATTGTCTTTTTATCACAAGTGTTAATTACTTTTAAATTTTATGAATAATATCATCAGATCATTTGGAGAATCTTTGGATCAGATGTGAGACTAACAGATTTCAGTGTGTGTGTGTGCGTGCGTGTGCGTGTGCGTGCGTGTTTGCGTGCGTGCGTGCGCGCGTGCGCTTGTTCTACTCTGGACTAGAGCCACTTTACAAGTGCTAGCCCACTAAGATACCACGGTGCAGGTAAACATGAATACAACCCTGAGACACCAATTAGTGACTCCGAGCTGACCATGCAGTCCTTGTTTTAGCCCCTTAAAGCCGAGCGCCAGGCAGAGTAACAAGAAGTACCTTCTAACGTCTTTTGTATGACACGATCGGGGGTCGAATCACCAATTGCAACCTTTCGCTTTTCGGGCAGATGCTCTATCCACTAGACCACAGAGGCGGCCGCTACTAATGGAATCAACCTTGTTTGTTTGTTGTTTAACGCCGCACTCAGCAATATTGCAGCTATATGACGGCGATATTTAAATAATCGAACCAACATGATAACATAGAGATAAATAGAGGAAAAGAACATTTATTATATACTGCGGTGTGTAAGACTGATATTTTCATTGCAGTGAACATAACACTTGATATTTGACTGTTGTGAACATAACAGTTTGACGGAACTATTGTTATACAAGAGTTATCTCCCCTCAAATTGTCCACCTTTATCGTAAGTGTCTGACCGCAACACAAACTGTTGACTTCCTCTTTACGTTAGTTTCACATTGACAAGGCAAAATATTGACAGACGGAGTTAATATCGGTTCTTGCCGTTTGTTATTCTCTGGAGGATGTTTCGTTATAAACTGTAAATTTCTCATTTAACTCGTCAATCGAGGGGGCGGTCGGGTAGCCTAGTGGTTAATGCGTTCGCTCGTCCCACCGAAGACCCGGGTTCGATTCCCGACATGGGTACAATGTGTGAAGCCCATTTCTGGTGTCCCCCGCCGTGATATTGCTGGAATATTGCTAAAAGCGGCGTAAAACCATACTCACTCACTCACTCGTCAATCGAGACTGTTCGTCTCGCCATTTTCGTTACTTGACCAGCGTGAATTCTTTCGCTTCCTACAGCGGTCTCGTAGTTTTCAAGACTACATTTTGTTAAAGTTGATTTTGTAACTAACCATATCTAAATATATGAAAAAGAATTTCCGTGACCCAATTTTTTTTAATTACTTTTTCAAAAGAGATTTTGCAAACACGAAGCTACTTTTTAAGTCGCAAATACAAAGGGTGGGAAATATCTCCTTCTCCCTGTCACTTGATGAGAGAACATGATATTTCACTCTACACATGAAATATCATCTATATATTAAGATACTGAAGCAATTCAAGCGGAGCGAGTTGCCTGTTTTGCTTTTTGTGCCCTATGGAGTCTGTTCCAGAGGAAAACCAAAACTCATGATGCTCTGGCCTTGACTTTTTGAATTTTGTTCAATAACACAAATAAGAGATATTCATATAAACTGTATTTCAAGACATATAAAAGATATAATGCTTTACCCAAAGAACGTCCATTTCACATCGGATATTCTATCATTTATTGTTTATATAGATTAACAATTGGATAGAAGTCCCATATCATGCATGTTGTTTAATTGTGAAATATTTGCTCGCTTATTAATTTCAAAATACATGCAGCATTGTATTAATCTTTTACAGATTCTTATCTAGAAAGAGTTTCAATCCTGGACTCTAAGAGAGGTCTTGTGGTACAGACACCAACAGTCCGTCTGTCTAACTGTCACATCAACAATACGGAGGGTGCAGGACTGACGATCCAGACCGATTTCATAGAACTTGACCTGAATGGGACAGTTGTCGAACATGGACAGTCAACAGGAATATTCACTGAAACCAGGAAAGGTCTCCATATCTTTAATGGTACAACTCAACACAATCTTGGCAGTGGAATACTGCTTTCTGGAGAACTGGTTGATGCAACGGTTGAAAAAATGAACATCCTCAATAACAATCTCCATGGAATAGAGAATTATTATATAGTCAAGTATTATACTGACAGGAAAACTCAAATATCTGTAAAACAAAACAATTTTGAAAGTGACACTATGAAAGGCATAGCACTAAAACTTAAACTTGACCAGTATTATAGAAACATAGAAGTACTTGTTGAAAAGAACATCTTTAGGATTAATGCAGTTTCTGTGGATGTAAGCATGATTGCTTCTGGTTACAATACAAAAAGCTGTGTCATCAAACACAATAGATTTCTTTCAAGTGGCCCTATTACAATTAATGCACAGTTGGTTTCTTTCGAGGGAAATACTGCTCGAGATTCTTCCGGAGGTGAAAATTGTTTCTTAACACTTGATGTGAATAATTGGTATTCCTTAAACCAACATCAGGTTGTCAGCGTCTTCACAAACAGTTTCAATAACATATCAGGCAAATGTGTTGTCTTGTTAAAATCATCAGATAATGAATTTAATGGAACATTCAATTATAACCAAATATCCAACTCAACTTCTAAAGAAGCAGCAGTCATGTTAAACTCAAAGCATTTTAACTTCCTCGGTAATTTGTTTGATAATCCTATTTCTGACTATGAACTTAAGGTTCTGAAGACAGGAGAGGAGGAGGTTAAAGCTGAGCATAATTGGTGGGGTAGTACTGATCCATATATTGTCAATCAAAGAATTCTTCACAAGGATCACGTCAAGATGCTTCTTAAGGTGGACTACCTTCCACTCCTCACTTATCAGAAGTTCGACTGTTTGGGGGTAAACAACTGCAGTGATAAGGGTGTATGTGTTCGTCCAAACGGATGTAGATGTGACTCAGGATGGGGTGGTGCAGACTGCTCTGACTTCGACTGCTCTGATGTTAGCAATTGTAACAGGAATGGTGTCTGCATGGGGCCAAACCAGTGCAACTGTTCACTGGGATGGGAGGGTGCAACGTGTGTGCTTGCCACATGCCACGAAGTTCATGACTGTGGTGGAAGTCAAAGAGGATACTGTGTGTTGCCTGAGAAGTGTACATGTTTCCCCGACTACAGCGGAGATGACTGCATGCAATGTGCACAGTCAAGATGGGGAGAGAGTTGTCTCCCCTGTCCTCGATGCAATCACGGATCGTGCAACGTCACAAATGGTAGGTTAACAATGTAAATAATTCAATAGTTTCTCCCATTTCGTTAACGAATGTTACTTCAGTTACCTTAAACATGTGTGTGTGACTTGTGTTTAATAGTGTAATGACATACGTTATTTAATTAGGTATATGCCATTGCATTGGTGAAAACTGGTCGGGAGAATTATGTGACACATGCACTGAGACGTTTTATGGCCCCGCCTGTCTTCCATACATCAACGTGCTGAACATCATCCCTAGATCCGGTCCTGACACTGGAGGAAGAGACGTGCATATCTGGGGCCACAACTTCCCCGAGACAGGGAACAACATCTTCCTCTGCAGATTTGACACCATCGTGGTGAATGGAACACGTCTGTCCAAAGAACATATAGTTTGTAAACATCCTCAGCATCCAGCAGGCGTCATCAGTGTAGAAATATCTCCTGACGGGGAACACTTTACCACAAATCAGGTACGTATCATACAGTCAAGTCTTATGAGCTAGTTACTTGAGCGGCGGTCGGGTAGCCTAGTGGTTAAAGCGTTCGCTCGTCACACCGAAGACCCCGGTTCCATTCCAATGAGTACAATGTGTGAAGCCCATTTCTGGTGTCCCCCGCCTTGATATTGCTTGGATGTTGCTAAAAGCGGCGTAAAACCATACTTACTCACTCACTTTTTACTTGAGTTGTACACGGTCATAATGATGTTAAACGCTCTGTGTTCTAGACTCAGTTCACCTACTATGAAGTTTGTCCGCCTGGAGCCTGTGGGAAGACGGATAATCCTCCTCATGGCCACTGTCTCTATGGTGGATGTGTATGCCTGTTGCCCTGGTCAGGGAGGAACTGCAGTGTCGAGTTGAAGGCACCGATTATCTCCCTTAGTGCACAAACACCGGTTGTTGCTGAAGGTGATGCATTTTCGTTACAACCAGTGTTGAGCCAGGTAGGTCTTATTGTTGACTAAATATATTATATACAAAGGTAAATGAATGTGCTCGTGGCCTCATATACATTGCTTCGTGTACACGTGTAATGTGGGTGAGTTAATATTTATAGTCACATCGACAATTTGTCAGCCATATGATGATTAGAAGAAAACAAGTTATACATTCATAAACTCATACAAAACCTGGCGACAATGGACAGTAAAACACCTAGAGTATCACAGATTGTTATCTTATCGCAAAGAAGGAAGGGCCTTAAAAAACTGAATTACCGCTGGAATAAGTATATATACATTTGTAGTACACATAAGAAGCTAAGGGACACCCGATTTTGTAATATGACAATCTGTCAGGACTGGTGGGTATGGCGACCACATCTTTCCAATTGCAGGTGTTCTTTAACTTATTTTGAGTAGTTTATACATATTGTTTAGAGCCACAGTTGTCAATACTAACAGTATCATGGTGGTGAAAATATGTATTAAAGGCACATTGACCGAAACCCGCAAATTACACTTTCCTATTACATTCCCTACATATATAGCAGTACATGACATTGAGGCTTGTGAAATGATTACAGCAGTAAGGGAATCAATAGAAGCAGTTTAATGTCCTTTCAATGTAAATAAAAACTGTTTAAAACAATTCAGTCACAATTGAAGCGTATGTAAAAATCAACGTCAAGTCATTTGTTTATAGTGAACACTATTGCAGTTAACGAAATATTAAGATGGACGCAAGTTTGTTTAAACATTGGTTACATCTCATCTGTATTTATTTCAGATTGAATTTCACAAATACAATAAGGTCTTTAATTTTATCATCCGCTGAATGTCTACATTTCATAATTCCAAAGAAGCACCTGGCACATTGAATTTAAGTCATGTTTACAGGGCAGTGTTCCGATCGATTGGTACCTGTCTGGAGCCCCATCTGAGATGACCATTGACCTCAGCAATGGACGTATCCTGTGGGAGAGAGCTGTGGCCAATGTCCAGCCATTGAACATCTCTGTCAGGGCTTCAAACTATATTGGACACTCGGAGGTTCAGTTGTCCCTGACAGTAAAGTTATCCTACAACGTCACAATAGATGTTTTGACACCGAGCGGAGTGCTTACTGTTCCAAAAGCCATACAAATCAAGGGACATGTCACTTTCTTCAGCGCTAATAGACAGTCATCAATTGTCTTTGTGGATGTCAAGTACGTGCATAGACGTTGCAACGTGTTATGTAATTGCTGAATGGAAAATTATACCTTCACATTTGCTGTGTCATATGGTAATTAGCTTATCGAAATGATCATACCGCTTACCGCTTACAAACGTACATCAATAATAGGGGCACCTCATAGAGGCATGTGTAACCAATCATCTAAATACAAGCGACATATATGTGAGAATATTCATATTCATAAGAGATCTCTGCGGAGTTGCATCCCTTGTTCGAATCTTGGTGCGCTCTATTGGGGATTGGGGTTTCACCAAAGTAGTGATCTGTATCACTGGATCTGACACGCCACAATTCATTGTGCAGAGTTGCGTCCCTTGTTCGCCATGCATATGTTTTCTTGGTTTGTCCGAAACATAATCATCATCCTGGGTTTCTCTAAAGTGGAGTTAAACCCCTATTCACTCACTCAATCACATGTCTGTTTTTAATTGTAACAGGATACGGAATAAAGATAAGACCAAGAGTCTGCTTGTTTTAACATCTTCCACTGATCAAGGGCACTTCGAAACACTGTACTATCCAATGGCTGGGGACAGCGGACAGTTTGACGTTGTGAGTAATATAATGAAATGATTACAGTAGAATTAACATCGGAAAATTATAGGAGATTCAGTCCGCCATGGACAATCAAAGGAAGAAAATTTATGCTTGCTCGTTACATGTGATGGTCCCTCACACGATCACACAGATCAAACTACATTTACCATATAAAGATTCTTCCTTGCAAAGGATATTTTGCTAGAACATCATGTAAATTTGCTTTTCGTTCACATTAATAGAAGGCTGTGCATATTGTATATACTATTTTTTTATCCAGCACCTGATATAAATGTCCGGTTTATTTATTTAATAGAAGGTTATGCACATTCATATTTCTGATCCTTAAGGATGGCCGCCATCCTGCAGACACCGGGTTCTCTCGTCAGACATCTTGGAGTGTGTTGGGGATGAAGTGTGTGCCTGGATATGTGAACCGACAGGCCTACCTAGATACAGAAGTGGTGGAGATGCCAGACATTACTTCGCTTAAGAATGATGGCGTCGATCCTATCAGCAATATCTCTTTCACAGTGAGTAGACAACCGTTGGCATTGTCGTCCCATCAGAATGTGTAAAAAAGGCGTTAAAAGGTGACAACGCGACAATGCGATATATTGATAATGTGTAATAAGTGAATTAATGTATGCATTTGCCGAAAGGGTTATAATCCTTTTCAAACTCCAGTGGTCTTTCGTTAGCTCCAATGATTCTAAAATCAAAGTGGCATTGGCTAGGTGGTTACTTTTCTCAAAACTAAAACACATCTTTCACCGTGACTTTAGAAATTAGTTCATTTATTGTTATTGTCTCTGTCAGTTTCCACAAAACAAACGTGCTTTCACAACAAGAAGCAGGTTCATATTGGTCTAAGGCATCTTTTCAAATCGATGAGGACATACGGTTGGCCCTGTCGCTTTGCTGTGCGAAGTTACGTCTCCTAGACGTACCAGAAAACTAAGATCGTGGGTTCGAATCCCAGCACCATACACATACATCACGTAGGAATTTCCTCCCACATCAATCTGACACACTGCAAAATAACTGAAATTTTGTTCAAATGTCGTTAAACGACGGGTCACGTTAGTCACGTGGAGTCCTAGGATGTGTGACCGTATCCGGCTGATTGACCCCAAAGAGCTTCTGGGCCTTTGGTTAAATATTTGTTTTATTTCTAGGTTGAAGGTGCTGGTGGGCCACTATCATCAGCAGTTGTGCGAACAGGAAACATAGCATCAGCCAATACCTCAATAATCGCATTTTTGAACAGAGGTGAAGATACGTCCATAGATCTAGTACTGACAGCCTCGAGTCCTCTCCGTGGAACTATTGCCATTGTGTTCAGTACACCGGATGGAACAACGGCCAGAGTGACAGTAGGACTACAGCTGAATGTCCGAAAACCTTTTTTGGTCCTCTCACCAACATCCCTGTCTGAAAGTGTCCCGAGAAGAACACAGAAAACGTTCCAGGTTGTTTTCATAACGAAAGTGCTTTAATGTTCTTAGACAGTAGTCTTAGATACATACATACATACATACATACATACAGACAGACAGACAGACAGACAGACAGACACGGCTCGGCTCGGAGTCAGTACACTGTGTCTATACTGTGGGCATGGTGGGCATTCTGACCGGGCTTGCACTATATAAACCGTCATTGGCCCGGACTATTACAACTATCCCCCCTCCCACACGCACGCACGCACGCACACGTCATGTGTGTTCAACCCAAATCCGTTACCAACGAGGTACCAATGCTTAAATAGTGGAGCCTGGGTTTGGACCTGTTTTTTATCCTCACAGAATCTCCAAGTAAACTTATCATTATTTGGAACAACAGTACTTCATCCTTCATCCTCAAAGGAAATACCTCTTAAACAGAATATTATTATCTCACTAGTGCTGTTACATTACTTCTACGGTAACTACAGAGCCCCCGACAGATCAAGTGTATTAAAATACTGACTCTATGTATGTATGTGTGTGTGTGCGTGTGCGTGCGTGCGTGCGTGCGTGCGTGCATGAGTCCGTCCGTGTATATGTATGTATGTAAGAGTATTTTGACGTCGTAGTTACTTTGTTTTTTCTTTACGTGTATCTATCTACTTGTATTTGTTAACAGATCAATATCAAGAATGAAGGTGAAGTGTCAGCCAAATCCCTCAGAGTAGCAATGCCGTCTGAATCAAGACTTACAATGTCTGCATTCTCATCAGAGACAACACTGGACTCTGCAGATGGCCTTGACCTTCAACCAAATGAGACCGCCATATTGATATTGACATTCACGACCGGTGCAGCTGACAGTTTGGGGCAATTCACTGGCAGCGTGGCTCTGAACTCCGATCTCTTCTCTGCAAGTATCCCTTTCACATTCTATGTGACATCCCAGGAGACACTGAACATCACAGTTCGCGTCGAGGATGAGTACACATACTTTGCTACAGGCAAACCCTTGGTATCAGGAGCTGTGGTGACACTACAGAACCCTAGAAGAGGTTACAGGCAACAACGAACGACTACCAATCAAACAGGTTCCAATTATTATACGGTTTTACCTTGACCCTTAAAACCATGGACCACAAAAAATGTTTGCAATATATGAAGGTCCTCTAAAGTAATGAAATGTATCTTTTTGTTAAAAATGTGGTACAGTGGGTATTATTGGGCATACCCCTCAATGCATTTAACCGCCTCCGTGGTCGAGTGGTAGAGCGTTTGATCCCCAGCCGCGTCATACAAAAAGACTTTAAAGATGGTACTTGTTGTTACCCTGTCTGGCGCTCAGCATTAAGAGGATAAACAAGGACTGGTCGGCTCGGAGTCAGTATACTGTGTCTGAGTGGGGTATTTATGTTAAACTGCGGCATGGTATCTCAGCGAGCTGGCACTATAAATCGGCATCAGTCCGGACTAGTACAAGCAGCAACACACACACACACACACACACACACACACACACACACACACACACACACACACACACACACACACACACACACACACACACACACACACACACACACACACACACACACACACACACACACACACACACATACGTACATGCACGTCGCTATATAAGCGCAATAATCTTGGACGCGACGTTAAACCCCATTCAACCTCACCTCAATGCATTTCTTATCTGTGTTCATTATGTACACATCTTTGTTGTATTAAACCCTGTTAAATTTGGTAATACTATCCAAAACACCAAGGTCATTGATGAAGATGTAATGGTAAATGTATCCATGACCATGTGTAAAGTATATAACCTACGTGCAACATTCTTGAATAATTAAGACAAATTGCTCTACATTGTTGTCAGAGAGCTAACATCTGTTACAGAGTTCGTGGTGTTTGAGGATGCTAGTGAGGATCGGTACTCTCTGACAGTATCAGCTCCAGGGCATGGATCCTACTCGGCCGTGATCATCGCAAAGCCCTCAGACTCCTCCTTCACCATCTTCCTGCAGAGAGTGGCTGTGAAATACAGCTGGACTGTCACTCCTACAACCTTCGAGGACAAATACATCGTCACACTTGAATCCACATATGAGACGCAGGTAAGTGACAATTTCAGATGGATTGATGTGTTTTTGAAACAGACTTGCTCTGTGATTTTGGGCAGGACATGCTTACTTTTTTTCGCCAACACCTGCTTTCATCACTGATGTTCAGTTATCCATGCATATAATTTTCACCGCTAATTTGCCCAATGGAATTTATTTCTTCGGAGTATTGTCTGACGTTGACGTTTTTTTATATATTCTCATACATTGATTTTTTATTGCCAATTTATATCACGAAACAAATGTTATATTTGGGATAACACTTCTTCAGTAAAGTACAGATTCTCGTACTTTTTGGGGTTGAGTAAACTCTGGGATTCGAACCCACGCTACCAGAGTGGGGCACCCACTCAGCCACCGAGGCTTCCGCAAAAATAAAAGTCCGACAACTGGTAGTCTTGATCACGACCTTTATGTACCCAAGTGTAAATTGGCATGGCTCCCATGCCCGAAAGCTATGAACTCACAATGCCAATTAGAAAGTGATCAAATGTAACAAATGTTATGTTTGGGAAAACACATTCTTAGTACTTTAATAAGAAAGTGTCATCCCAAATATGACATTTGTTACATTTGATCACTTTCTAAATGGCATTGTGTGTTCAATTTATGTCTCACAGAAACATCTATCGTGTTACAGGTACCATACTTCGAATGTATAACGTATGTTGAAAGCCAAAATATGTATGTTGAATTGAATATACTCTAGGTACCCATGCCAGTTGTGACAGTGGAGCCTGCTAAAGTAAACATCATACCCTATGAGACAGGGGTGAGAAATGTGATCAACTTCAACGTCACCAACCATGGCCTCATCAGGGCAGACAATGTCAGGTTCATCCTTCCAAGTCATTCCACTCTTGTTTTCACACAGGTAATACGAATGTTTGTCATACTTAAACATTTCCATGATATAAATCAAGGTTATTAGTTAGCTCAGACAATTTTGAGTGATGTAATCTTCTCATTACAACGAAGACCGCTTCCGTCTAGTTTTATAGCGTCTACACGGAGAGGGGAAAGTCGGGGTTCAATCCCCGGCCGTGTCATACAACAAGACGTTAAAAATAGTACCTGTTCCTACACTGATGGGCTTTCGGCAATAAGGGCAAAAAACAAGAACTGATCGGCTCTGTGTTTGAGCGGGGTATTCATGTCACAGTGTCTCAGTGGCCTGGCACTACAAAATCAGCATTAGACTAATACTAGCAGTTACATACACACACGCTATATAATTGCAACGATCTTGAATGTGTCTTTAAGCCCCATTTCACCTCTCCTCACAACCTCTAATTATAAACAATATTTCTTTCTCAGAATATTGATCCAATTGGATTTCTTGAAGCCAACACAAGCATCATTGTCCCCGTTTCTGTTACACTGAAGACATGCGTGAAGCGAAGCTCAGCGGGTTGTGGTTTGAAAATGCTGTATGATGTATTTTGTGGTGGAACAAGAACGGGGGGTCAGGATATAACGCTGACCAGAGAGCTCCCAGGACGACCCCCCTTGCCCTGTAGGAGTGGCGGAAGTGGTACTCCGGGAAACAATGATGGATACGTAATTGGTAAAAATATTTTATATCCCCAGGGTGCACATATTTTAAATATATTTAATGTGTACATTTACGTGTATTTTCCAGTCATTCTCTGGATGTTGTTTGCTGATCGTGAACTACTTTTTTTCGAGAGTGAAACGTCACATTTTCAACTTCCAATAGTCCAGTACGGTTGCATATGGCTTGTACCATTTTCTATCCATTGATTGTTACATGCTTTACGTTCAGGAGAATGTTTATGGTTGGCTTCCACCATCATCTTCAATCTTGCACTTTTCATTGTAATTAATAGTCGTTGCCCATTTTCCAATCACCCAATCAGTGTGCCTTTGGCATAAACAACATCCTCTTAAACTGTTAATCACATAGCCAACATACTGAGCAGTATTGATGTTGGTTGCCATGTGTTCACTGGTTTAACTCTCTACAGGCCGTGGATCTAGAGGATCCTCAATCACGTCGCTGGGTGGACGCACCACTGCACATCCGGCCATCACACCAATAGAATACAAACCTGTGACCCCACTCACCTGTGACTGTTTAAATGCGCTTATAAAGGATTGCCTCCTACCGTTCGTCCCTGGAGGTAGTTGTGTTGGGGCCATGTTGGATCTAGGAGGCCCTAAAAGTTTCTTCGGACACATCATGGACATTATCAAACTTGCAGACGCGTGTACGATAAAACCTACTACGGTTTTAGGAACGCTGGAACAGCTTATAAAGTAAGGCATAATTTTACTGATATCATGGTTTTTAAAAAAACAAATATTGGATCTTAGGAATTCAGTTTTGGTCAGACCAAACATGGTAAAAACAATCTACACTCTCTTTTTACCGGATGTCCCATGGCATTGTAACATAGTCGTTCTTTGACTATAATTTTAGCTTATCTTTGTATTATTTAGTTCTTTGAACAGTCATTTCGATTTCTAGCTGCATCGTTTCAACAATATATCAGTAACATTACGTAATATCGGAGGTAGTGGTGCAAGTTATAGATCTAACATACCTTTGAAAATTGTTTTTTTGTTGTTGTAAATCTCCAGGTGAAAGTATATTCTGTGTTTATATTAAACGTGATGTTAACCCATACCTTCAAGAGATGTTTCATGTTACTGCATTCCGTTTGACTTTCAAGAAAATATAAAATTACATAATCACATATTACTGTTAGCCAAAAAACATATTGATATCAAGTCTTGAAAACGTAAAACCCTCCGTTTATCGCTTCATCTGGATATATCGCCTGCCTGCAAGGTCGAAAAATCTGTTGCAATTATAAGAAACATAAATCTCAATTACTTAAAGAAATGGAAACCTCTTGCAGATAACATTTTATGATATAACAAAAGTATTTTAATGCTTGTGTTTTGCCATGTAGCCTATTCGTATGTCTTACTGTCACAACCTTAGTTCCAAATATTTGAATCGGGATGAATTGTGTTATCACAATATTAATTCTTTTGGCCATTTTAGTTCTGGAAGAGAAATATATCTTGATATCATGAAACCGGATATTGTTATGTATAAAAAGTCCAATATGGTCCCTTTCTTTGCATCAAATAACTTGACGAATGCTTACCACTTAAAACAGTTAATTACCTCAGTGGAACATATGATGTAACGGGTAATAGATATATAATGTATATATATATTCCCTAGATGCATAACTCAAACGGCAAAGGTGCCTCCCCAATTATGAATAAATAGTCGCATTTAGGCGATTGTGTGACATCAAAAAACTTGACGAACGGTTTCTATTCATACACTGTTAATTACCTCACTGGAACATGTGATCTACTGGTTAATATATGTAGTGTCCTCATACTCTCTAGATGCTTATATGAAGCGGACAAACACTGCCCATCCCGTCGAGACACTGATGGAGAGGTGACTCAAGGAGTTGTGAAACGAAACACAGCTCTCAGGAACTACATGGTCATGCTGGAGGAGGTGTTTGGACACGAGAATCCGTAAGATGTGTACTCTTTGCTGTTGTGAAACATGTTAATATGGAAGATGTGTCTAATCATTGTTGTGGGGGAAAATGAAAATATGTAACGCGTGTCTAAGATTTGTTGCTGTGAAACATGAAAGTATGTAAGATGTGTGCGAGCTTTGCTGTTGTGAAACATATGTAAAAATATGTAAAATCTATCTAAATATTATGTCCGGTGTTTTAGTCATATCGTCTACTTCAGGACTAAGCTTTGGAGACTTTGGTAACTTTAATTTTGTAAGCATTCACATGTCATGTGCTGTATGTCTAATTAATGCATAATAAATGCATAAACATTGCACGATTAGAGTGAACACAAACTCTCAACAAGACTGCATGACAAGAGGGATGACTTCGACTTTCCAACAGCTTACTTTCACATTTCAAAATGTGCAGTGCGCAGTCAAAGGTGCTCAGTCAAGGGCATTAGTCCGAACGCGGTTAATCCGAAAACCCACGTTCAAGTTGACAGTACCCATGCTTTGTTTATCCTGACGATTTCAGTGTTGTTTGATTGTAGGTGATGTGTTATATACTTCTTAGATTGTGATCTACGTACGGTTCTTTACAAGCAGTAACTATCCAACCAGATTGCTAGATGCCATGATGATTAAGGATAAACTTTATTATTTTAGCAACATGAGTGTATACAAACGTACATTGCATGTATGTTACAACTTAAACATGAAAGATTACTTCTGTCTATTTCAGGTTTGATGTGTATGACAACAGTTGGGGAAATTCCTTCAATCTGGCTCTGGCTGATGATAGTGCTGGAGGAAGTTCCCTCTCTTCCAGTGAGATCGCGTCAATTGTGTCTCCTCTAAACTCCACAAGGGGTCAGCTTGTAGAGAGATTCCTGCTACGATGGAACAAAACAATGACAGCTTGGGAAGATGGAACACTTGCGTCACTGGGTCAAACAGATGACACTATTTCTTACAATGTCATAATGTCTAGATTTGAGCAGTTCAAGACTGATACTCAAAATGCAAAACAGGTTATTAGTATTTGAATGTTTATTTCTGAAATCTGAAACTTTTGCAAAATGTGAAAGAGGAAGTACAATTGATTAAATTAAAAATACGTATTTGATAATTGTTTCATTGTCCATATCAAGTATTTAAAAGATAGAAATTTGACATAATACATCACCTTTCTCTCATATTGGAATATTCACAGTACACGCTTTATATTTCAATCATTTTAGAGAGGGTTTGACTCAATATTTGAAGATTTCGACAATGCCGTAGATGTCTTTCAAGAAAAGGAGAAACAGAAGGTGAGTTCTAAATTAATCTATTCAATTTCTAAAATTACTAACACATTGTACCCTGTTACTGTTAGTGGTACTGATCTTTGTCTTAGGGCCATTGGAACACTGGCTGTCCAGATGTCTAAGGCATCGTAATTAGCACTGCGGAGTTGCGTCCCTTTTCAAGTGCTTTAATTCTATGATCGTGGGCTTTATTTTACGATTTGTCCTCATCATTATTCTTCCTTTCTCAATAGCATACGCGTATTTTGTAGCTGTCAGCTAAGTGTACATGTCCAAGACCTGCACCACCTTGGGCTTCCTGACATATTATGCCGACATGATATAAGTAAACTAGTGTTCAAAAGGGTCATGAAACCAAACCTTCTTTTACTCTTCAGGTCCTTAAATCCCTACCTTCTCGAAATATAATTATGATATCATAGTTCGGTAATTACACGTAGCATCAAGGTACTGATACTGTGTTTCTTGATTCATGACGTTCTTAAATCCTAAAATGCTTTGATATTTTATTTTTATTATTATTACAGAATGGCAAGGACGATGGTATCTGTGCAAAAGTTCGAGTGCGTATTGTACAGGAACTAGTACTAACAAGAGATGCTTTCAATGCCCGCTTAGAGATAGAAAATGGCGAACAATCTTCCCTGGACAATATTCGCGTCACCGTTAACATCAGGGCAACATATGGAGATGCATCTTCTACAAATGATAAATTTTCAGTGGGTAGGTGCACAAACCGTATTGACAGTGTACACCTGTAATGAAAAGTGCCAAAATAATTTACAAATGGCATTAACATCAGGTGTAGGGACGTCTCCCTTTAGAGTATTGTCACACCTCTGTTCGTCAATGCTATGCCATTTTGATCTGTTCCAACCTATTTCACAGCATTTTAAACAATATATTAAAAAGTTAAATTTACAATTGTTACACGTGTGTGTAATGAACAAATAATAATAATAAACAAGATGTCAACACATAATCATTCTACTCTGACCAGGTTCCCCAACTTTAAATGGCCTAACTGGAGTAGATGGTACAGGTAGGCTGGAGACAGAGGTGTCCGGTTCAGCAGAGTGGTTGATCATTCCCTACTCCACAGCAGCAGTCAGGGAGGACACACTGTATGATGTCGGGGGGATCCTTTCCTATACAGTAGATGGTTCCAACTTCACCATCCATCTGCTACCTGACACCATTACAGTGAAACCCAATCCCAGCCTCACCATCAATTACTTCCATGAGAAATACGTCCAGGGAGATGACCCGATGACTTCAGAGGTGGTGGAGCCAAATGTTCCCTTCACACTGGCGGTCATGGTCACCAATGGGGCATATGGTATAGCCAGACAGCTGAAGATAACGTCTGCTCAGCCAGAGATCATTGAAAATGAAAGGGGACTCTTGATCTCGTTCAAGATCATCGGAGCGCAGTTGGAAAAGAAACCAGTCAGGCCCTCTCTGTCCATAGACTTTGGAGATATCGAATCCTTTGAAACCAAAACTGCTCGCTGGCTTCTGACATCCTCCCTTAGAGGAAAGTTCTATAATTTCACAGCTACCTTTGAGAACATAAACCCTCTTGGTGACCCTCAGTTGTCAATCATGGAGCACGTCGGTTATCATGAACTGGTCCATCTGGTAAGACTTGAATCTACAAAAGACGTAAGAGATGACTTCCTTGTAAATGATGTCATAGATGAAGATGAACTGCCTGAAGTTGTCTATGATAGTTCGAATGGATTCGTTTCAGCAACAGTCCTTCCCACAACTGTTAAGACATTTAGTTTAGAAATGACTATGACAGTGGGAACAAGATCATACAGTTTCGTAAATCTATCGGTAATATTTGGAAATATGTCAGACACAAACTATACCTACACGCGCCTGGTGAACAATGAAACGAGAGACAGCGTGAATGAAACACTGTTGGAGGTGACCCGACATGATGGCAAGAGTATCCTTGTTGGACCTAATGCCTGGCAGACTTCTCATTACCATGATAAGTTTTACTTGCATATATTTGACCATCACAGGAACATACCCGAAACTGCCTCAGCCTCTTATTCGCTGGTATTCGGTCCAAAGAATATACACAAGCCAATGTTTAAACAAGATGGCTATCAAATATTTGTCTACTCTGGTGAACAGCCAGGTCCCATTTTGAAAGTCCAAGCTGTGGATGAAGACCGCGACACTGTGCTACGTTACATGCTTATGGAATCATCTTTGTTTGCTATCCATCAACAGAGTGGACAAATCAGAAGTCTTGAACCACTGCAAACTGGATTGTATAACCTATCTGTAGCAGTAACTGACGATGGTGTTCCGGCATTCAATGCATCAGTCCATGTCTTGGTAGAGGTTGGTGTCAACATTACAGTTACATCTGACCGAACGCTTGGTACAACACCAACAACATTTTCACCTGGAGATAGGATAATGCCTTCAGTTTCTACTGAATGGCTGATTTTACCCTCCATCAATGGTCCAATGGATTCACCGTTTTCCACTGAAAAGGCAACAGTTTCCTTTTCCCCCTCTCAAAAGCAACAATTCCTATCCAATTCCATCAAAGCGTCTACGTTGTCATTAGTGTCTATCAATGGATCAAAGTCATTGTCATCGCCTATTGAAAGATCAACCTCCTCTGAAGGGCAGATATTCGCACCAGCATCATTCATAACGCCCAAACCGTCAATGCTTTCCACTGAATGGGGGGCATCCCGGCCAATTCCCACCAAAGAGTCAACGTTTTCACTGGTTTCCAATGAATGGCTGTCATTATCATCAATGTCTTTACCTGAAAGGCCAACATCAACATCCAACGCTGTTCCAACATCATTTTCAAGTGGGTGGCAGACAGTACTACCAGTTTCAATCGACGAGCCAGTTTTGACTGACTGGCAAGCATCATCATCAGTTTCCACCGAAGGCCTTGCAGCTTCCCTAGTTTTTGATGAAAGATCAACATCCTTTGAAGAGCAGACATTCCCATCAAATTCCATCGAAGGGTCCATGACATCATTATTTTCCAAGGAAGGATCGCGTACACAAGTGCCTGTGTCTTCCATAATCTCTACTTTAGGACTAATATCTTCATCAGTGATGCCTAAAGAGTCGATCAGCCTCGGGCCATCAAGTTCGACGCTTTCCTCACAACCTACACCAGGAACAACGTCTGGTTCCCGTAGGAACACATGTATCAATTTCATTTATATGCAAGTAATGTTTGTATCATTGTATAGTCTTGTGTATAGTTATGCCATGTGCATCATTCTTTGTTGAATTATTTGTATCGAGTACTTTGTTAGAGAGTTAAATGATATATATTTGATATATCTATTTGAAAATCCATAAGCCTTATATAGTAGATAATCTTTGAAGTCTTACAGCTCTTTACTATTGTGCACATTATAGATTGATACATAAATAACAGAGCTCAGATAACACTTTAGTGGTTGAAATAGTGTATATATATTTGCAAAACTTCTGTTACTTTTCAGGCTGAACGTCTCTGACAACCATATTCTACGCAATATTAAACCTGATTAAAAGTGCAGCTTTAATATGTTAAGCTAAATAGTCTTTGAGCAATTCTCCCTCAATACTGAGCAAAGTATGATAATGACTGGTCCATCTCCGGCTTTGGTATATCAATATCAAAGCATCATTGTCGATATTGCCATTAAAGTAAAGCTATCACAACGTTTAATACGCTAAGAGGCGAGGTGCGATGAAAGGGGTTTTAACGTCGCGTTACAAGATTATTGCACTTTATATAGCGACGTGCAAGTACGTGTGTGTGTGTGCGTGCGTGTCTTTGTGTGTGGCTGCTTGTGATAGTCCGGACTAACGCTGATTTTATAGTGCTAGCCCACTGAGATACGATGCCGCAGTTTAACATGGATACCACACTCAGACACAGCATACTGACCCCTAGCCGACCACTTCTTGATTTAGTCCCTTAATGGCAAGCTCCAAGCAGCGTAACAAGTCGTTTGGTATGACACGGCCGGGGATCGAACCTTCCGCTCTCCGGGCGGACGCTCAACCACTATACCACGGAGGTGGTTTATTACACAAAGAAATTGTGTGATGATTATATCACATGTATTATGTTAGCCATGTTATTCACGAATTCATCTAGCTATATATAACACTTATAGACTTATACTCGTTTTATTACAATATGTATACACTGTCCCAAATCTTAAAAATAATTTATAAGAGACACTATCTCAGTACAAAACAGGATGCAAATGCTAGTGCTCCCGATATTTCGAAATTTTACAAGTATTTTATCACATTTCCCTACATTAATTGCAAGACCTAGATTTTTCAGTATGCTGGGATAATAGGCATTGAATTTAAATCCTATAAGAAGTCAAGGTAAATGGGATGAATTGTATGATGATTATATTACATGTATTATGTTAGCCATGTTATTCAAGAATTCAACTTCTTATATTACATGAATTATGTTAGCCATGTTATACAAGAATTCATTTACTTATATTACATGTATTATGTTAGCCATGTTATTCAAGAATTCATCTACTTATATTGCATGTATTATGTTAGCCATGTTATTCAAGAATTCTTCTACTTATATTACATGTATTATGTTAGCCATATTACATGTATTATGTTAGCCATGTTATTCAAGAATTCATCTACTTATATTACATGAATTATGTTAGCCATGTTATACAAGAATTCATTAACTTATATTACATGAATTATGTTAGCCATGTTATATAAGAATTCATCTACTTATATTGCCTGTATTATGTTAGCCATGTTATTCAAGAATTCATTTACTTATATTACATGTATTATGTTAGCCATGTTATTCAAAAATTCATCTACTTATATTGCATGTATTATGTTAGCCATGTCATTCAAGAATTCATCTACTTATATTGCATGTATTATGTTAGCCATGTTATTCAAGAATTCATCTACTCATATTACATATATTATGTTAGCCGTGTTATACAAGAATTCATTTACTTATATTACATGTATTATGTTAGCCATGTTATTCAAGAATTCATCTACTTATATTACATGTATAATGTTAGCCATGTCATTCAAGAATTAATTTACTTATATATAACACTTATAGGCTTATACTCGTTTTATTACAATATGCATACACTGTCCTAGATCTTTAAAATAATTTATAAGAGACACTATCTCAGTCCAAAACAGGATGCAAAGACTAGTGCTCCCGATATTTCCGAAATTTTACTGGTATTTTATCACATTTCCCTACATTAATGGCAAGAGCTAGGTTTATTAGGTTGCTGTGATTTTAGGCATTGAATTTAAATCCTATAAGAAGTCAAGGTAAATGGGGTGAATTGTATGATGATTATATTACATGTATTATGTTAGCCATGTTATTCAAGATTTCGTCTACTTATATATAACACTAATAGACTTTTACTCGTTTTATTACAATATGTATTCACTGTCCCAAATCTTAAAAATAATTTATAAGAGACAATATCTCATTACAAAACAGGATGTGAACTTTATATTATTACATTTCCCTACATTAATTGCAAGAGCTAGATTTATCAGTATGCTGGGACTTTAGGCATTGAATTTATATCCTATAAGAAGTCAGGTAGAAGTGGATTAATACCCCTACAAAATATTCCGATCAAACTTTATCTGCTTTCTAACGGACTGTGACAGGCACTGACTGTAAACAGGACATAGCTATGCAATGGAAGAACTATGCTATTAATTATGAGATTACTTGATTTTCGCATGCTTTCTGCAATTTTGATTGGAGTATATACGTGTTTATATGAAGCATGTCTAGTGATATATGGTGCTTATTTGTAATTAAAAGTGAATTTATTTTTTATATTTGCATGTTAAATCATTTCAGGAAGTGAATCAGTGGGTACACTATTTTTGTATTGTTCCAGTAATATCACGACCGCGAGCAATATCTAATTGTACTTAAAGCAATCACTTTTTTAATAGGAAACAAGAACGTAAATTTTGTTATTGGTGAGTCTTCTTTCAATACATGTGAGTGAATAAGTCACATTCCACCCATTCGGCGGGGCCTCCTGAAATAGGCTGGCTTCACACACGCCATATGGAGGTAACCCGCTGACACCCTAATCCCAAATCCCCTTCAATATACATGTATGTAAGAGTGTTAAGGTCACATCACTAATATGTGCAAAGGGGACAGTTATGTGTGGAAAGAGGAGGGGGAGGGGTGGTACTGTGAAAAAACAACAACCCTGATTTGACAGCAACACATGCATGTTCGTGGGTTTCAATCTTGTCTTTGCTCCCACATTAAGCTACCACGACATCCTATAGCGTATAAACTGTTCAATCCGAGTTTTAGGGCTGTCGGGTAGCCAAGTGGTTAAAGCGTTCGCTCGTCACGCCGAAGACCCGGGTTCGATTCCCGACATGGGTACAATGTGTGAAGCCCATTTCTGGTGTCCCCCGCCGTGATATTGCTGGAATATTGCTAAAAGCGGCGTAAAACCAAACTCACTCACTCACAATCCGAGTTTAAGCGTGGATTATCTTTTGTCAATGTTTCTTCATAATACAAAGATTCAGGTAGATATATTTACAATGCGTAACGATATTTTACGTTAGTTACGAAGATAATATCCACTGGTGCTAGCGCTTTATCTAGACTGATTTCCATTAATCAAACATGTCTTCTTTCATTCTATAGATGGTAAATGAAGTTTGATGACGATGAAGTTGGTAAAGTGTGACCATAAGCGTCTGAAAGAGGTGCTTGATGGGTAAAGTGTATTGACCAGAAAAGTCAAACAGGGATGCATGATTGGTAAAGTGTGTTAACCATAAGTGTCAGTCAGGGTGCATGATGGGTAAAGTGTATTGACCACAAGTGTCAGAAAGAGGTACATGATGACTAAAGTGTATTGACCAGAAAAGTCATACAGGGGACCATGATGGGATTAAATGTGTTGACCATAAGTGTCAGAAAGAGGTGCATGATGGGTAAAGTGTATTGACCACAAAAGTCATACAGGGGTGCATGATGGGTAAAGTGTACTGACCAAAAGTGTCAGAAAGAGGTACATGATGGGTAAAGTGTACTGACCAAAAGTGTCAGAAAGAGGTGCATGATGGGTAAAGTGTGTTGACCATAAGTGTCAGAAAGAGGTGCATGATGGGTAAAGTGTGTTGACCATAAGTGTCAGAAAGAGGTGCATGATGGGTAAAGTGTGTTGACCATAAGTGTCAGAAAGAGGTGCATGATGGGTAAAGTGTGTTGACCATAAGTGTCAGAAAGAGGTGCCTGATGGGTAAAGTGTATTGACTATAAGTGTCAGACAGGGTGCATGGTAGGTAAAGTGTATTGACCATAAGTATCAGACAGGGTGCATGGTGGGTAAAGTGTGTTGACCATAAGTGTCAGACAGGGTGCATGATGGGTAAAGTGTGTTGACCATAAGTGTCAGAAAGAGGTGCATGATGGGTAAAGTGTATTGACTATAAGTGTCAGACAGGGTGCATGGTAGGTAAAGTGTATTGGCCATAAGTGTCAGACAGGATGCATGATGGGTAAAGTGTATTGACCATAAGTATCAGAAAGAGGTACATGATGGGTAAAGTGTATTGACTATAAGTGTCAGACAGGGTGCATGATGGGTAAAGTGTATTGACTATAAGTATCAGACAGGGGTGCATGATGGGTAAAGTGTGTTGACCATAAGTGTCAGAAAGAGGTACATGATGAGTAAAGTGTATTGACTATAAGTGTCAGACAGGGTGCATGATGGGTAAAGTGCATTGACCATAAGTGTCAGACAGGATGCATGATGGGTTAAGTGTATTGACTATAAGTGTCAGACAGGGTGCATGGTGGGTAAAGTGCATTGACCATAAGTGTCAGAAAGGGGTGCATGATGGGTAAAGTGTATTGACCATAAGTGTCAGATAGGGTGCATGATGGGTAAAGTGTATTGAACATAAGTGTCAGACAGGGTGCATGATGTGTAAAGTGTGTTGACCATAAGTGTCAGAAAGAGGTACATGATGAGTAAAGTGTATTGACTATAAGTGTCAGACAGGGTGCATGGTGGGTAAAGTGCATTGACCATAAGTGTCAGACAGGGTGCATGATGGGTAAAGTGTACTGACCATAAGTGTCAGAAAGAGGTGCATGACGGGGAAAGTGTATTGACCATAAGTATCAGACAGGATGCATGATGGGTAAAGTGTATTTACCATAAGTGTCAGATAGGGTGCATGATGGGTAAAGTGTACTGACCATAAGTGTCAGACAGGGTGCATGATGGGATTAAGTGTGTTGACCAAAAGTGTAAGAAAGAGGTGCATGATGGGTAACGTGTAAAGTCCATGCGTGTCAGATAGGGGTGCATCATGGGTAAAGTGTATTTACCATAAGTGTCAGACAGGGTGCATGATGTGTAAAGTGTATTGACCATAAGTGTCGTAAAGAGGTGCATCCTGGGTAAAGTGTATTTACCATAAGTGTCAGAAAGAGGTGCATGATGGGTAAAGTGTGTTGACCATAAGTGTCAGAAAGAGGTGCATGATGGGTAAAGTGTGTTGACCATAAGAGTCAGAAAGGGGTGCATGATTGGATTAAGTGTGTTGACCATAAGAGTCAGAAAGGGGTGCATGATTGGATTAAGTGTGTTGACCATAAGAGTCAGAAAGGGGTGCATGATTGGATTAAGTGTGTTGACCATAAGAGTCAGAAAGGGGTGCATGATTGGATTAAGTGTGTTGACCATAAGAGTCAGAAAGGGGTGCATGATTGGATTAAGTGTGTTGACCATAAGAGTCAGAAAGGGGTGCATGATTGGATTAAGTGTGTTGACCATAAGAGTCAGAAAGGGGTGCATGATTTGATTAAGTGTGTTGACCATAAGAGTCAGAAAGAGGTACATGATGAGTAAAGTGTATTGACCAGAAAAGTCATACAGGGGACCATGATGGTATTAAGTGTGTTGACCATAAATGTCAGAAAGAGGTGCATGATGGGTAAAATGTACTGACCATAAAAGTCATACAGGGTTGCATGATGAGATTAAGTGTGTTGACTATAAATGTCAGACAGGTGGCATGATGGGTAAAATGTACTGACCATAAAAGTCATACAGGGTTGCATGATGGTTAAAATGTGTTGACCATAAGTGTCAGACACGGGTGCATGATGGGTAAAGTGTATTCACCAGAAAAGCCATACATGGGTGCATGATGGGTAAAGTGTGTTGACCATAAGTGTCAGAAAGAGGTGCATGATGTGTAAAGTGTATTGACCATGGGTGTCAGACAGGGGTGCATGATGGTTAAAATGTGTTGACCATAAGTGTCAGACACGGGTGCATGATGGTTAAAGTGTATTCACCAGAAGGTCATACAGGGGTGCATGATGGGATTAAGTGTGTTGACCATAAGTGACATACAGGGGTGCATGATGGGTTAAGTGTGTTGACCATAAGTATCAGACAGGGGTGCATGATGGGTAAAGTGTGTTGACCATAAGTGTCAGAAAGAGGTGCATGATGTGTAAAGTGTATTGACCATGGGTGTCAGACAGGGGTGCATGATGTGTAAAGTGTATTGACCATAAGTGT